CTGTCCTAAGGGCCTCGCATCATCCTCATGGAGGCTTCATGTGCCAGGCATGGATACGAGCACTTCTCATGTATTAACTCATTCAGTTCTCAAAACAATCCTGTGAGTAGACATGACTGTCCCCACTTCATAGCTGGAAACTGAGGCCCAGAAAGGTTAAGAAACTTGCCTAAGGTCACACAGCTGGGAAGTGGCAGGGGAGCATGCCAGCCCAAGCCGTCTGGTTTCAGAGTCCGTATTCTTCAGCTGACTTCTTTAATACTGCCCCAGGGTCTAGCAGCAGCCTATTACAGGTAAGGAGGCTGGGCCTCTGGGTACTGAGCGAGCCGCTATACTTTATAGCATCCCCAGCAGCGGCTTTATGGCAGGTTCCTCTACACTCCCCTCCTCGAATATGTTCTTCAAGTGGCAGGCTCGCCTCTGTGACTTCACAGCGATGAGAGCATCGCTACTGCGTGCCGGGTGTGTCTGTGAGGAACAGGCCGTGTCCTCCCTGCTGGCAGCTAGCACTGGGGTCTTGAGGGCATTTTCTGGCAGGACCTGCAGAGCAGGACTGCGGTGAATTGAAAGCCACTTGCTCAGGACACAAAAGCTGGCTTGAATGGTGCCTCACCCAGAGGTCTGACTCTCCAAGTGGAACACATTCAGGGAGGGACACCGGGCAGCAAGGAGGGGACATTCCGTTAGGTGAGCCGCCCCACGCGGCGCCCAGGCTCCGCGTCCGATGCCCCCGCTGCAGCCCCGGTGAATCCTGCGGAGCCAGGCACCAGCGTGAACACATTACTCCTCCCCGTGTGCGGCTCTTCTGGAGCTGCAGGCCTGGGGGGAGGCCGTCAGAGCCCACGCCAGACTGATACGCACCAGGATGCAGCTCAGGGACCCCAAACATCCAGCCAGCTGGGCAGAGCAGGGTGGGCACGGCTGACAGCTCACCAAGCCCTGCGGGGCTCAGCTTCCAGTGAGGTGACTGATGACAGAGGCTGCCAGAGCCCGGGAATGATGCCACCCATAAGCCCGTGTGAGTCCAGCAAAAGCAGCAGTGCTATGACAAGCGGCTTAATTCAGGCCAGGTCATCTCCTACCTTCTAGAGCAGTCTGGCTTCCAAGTCCCTCGTGGGTCCAACCCAAACTAGAACCTCCTCCAGGCTCCTCAAATGCCCCGAAATCCTCCTCCTCTGGGGGGGTTCCCATAAGCCTCTGTATCATCAGATCCATCTGTGGCAATGATAAGCATAACTACCACCTAATAAGACAGTTCTGTTGGGAAGCCCTGGGCTGGGCTGGGGTAATGTTTTCCTTTTTTTTTTTAAAAGATTTATTTACTTTTTTTGGGGGGGGGGGGGGCTTGTGCTGGATCTTCACTGCCGCACACAGGCTTTGCCTAGTTGCGGAGAGCAGGGGCATCTCCTGTTTGAAAGCATGGACTCTAGGCGTGTGGCTTCAGTAGCGGGGCTCACGGGCTCTACAGTGTGGCCTCAGGAGGCACATGGGCTTAGGTGCTCCGTGGCATGTGGGATCTTCCCAGACCAAGGATCGAACCCACGTCCCCTGCACTGGCAGCCAGATTCTTAACCATTGGACCACTGGAGAAGCCCCTGGGGTAATGTTTTCATTAGTTCCACTTTACACAAAACTCAGGCTCAAAGAGAAATGTCTTGCCCAGGGTCACTCAGATAGGAACCTGAACTTGCTGGGCTCCAGGGGCCCAGAACCACAAGCCAGAGAAGGACTGTTGATCCCCTCTAGTTCTCCCTCGTTCTGAGAGCACCTAGACGACCCCAGAGGGGCCCCAAGGAAGGGTTCCTGGTGTACATCTTGGCAGAGCTGGTGGAGTTTTCGCTGTACCATTTAACCCTGCGTCCCCAGCAGTTAGCACCAGACGTGGCGCTAAACAAGCAGCTGCTGAGTAAAAGAGCAAGAAACCAAGACGAGCTTCTCCTTGCCCAGTGCCTGGGGCCCCACATGTCCTCCTTCCCCAGGAGACAGCCGCCCACTGCAGCTCAACTGCTGGCTGCAGAAGGCAGGCCTCGCTTCACCGCCAGGACTGCTGCGGGCATGGGGTGATGGGGCACCGAGGGCCTTGCCAAGGCTGCTCGTGGGAGACAGGGAACCTAAGCCTCCCCTCCATGGGCTCACCTGGGCAACTGCCAACCACATTTATTACAGTGGAAATCTTAAATCACTCCTGTATACTTGGCCCTTTGCATGTTCCTGCATTCTCTCATAGCAACCCGAGTGTGAAAGACGAGTGAAAAGGGGCCCAGAGAGGCCAAGTGACTTGGACTTGGACACACAAGACAGTTCAGGGCAGAGTGAGGACTGGTACCCGGGTCTCCTGGTTCAAGATCCAGCATTCTTTGCATTGTTCCAGGCTGCCCTCTCTCCTTCAGGCTCCGTGATGGGGAAGGGGTTGGAGGGTGGTAATGTACATCACAGGCCCTGAGCAATTTCATAAAATGGGACTTGGTTCAGCCCAATTGCTCCCAGTAGTGTTCCCCATGGTGCTCCCACTATCCCCGTGAGTGGTCATAGCAGTAGCTATGCCCATCTCTGCAGTTTCAGAGATCAACAGCCTCCCGTCCACCTCCACCAATTTCCAGAATATCTGCACACTGTGTGGAGTGGTGAGGATTACCTCCCTCAATGACACTAGTGACCAAAGCTCTAAGAGCTCTGATGAGAGCCACACTAGCCACCTTTCCCAGGGCTGAGGTGGGTACTGGGGAAGGTCCATGATCTGGGCAGGGAAGGCAGTGAGCCTCCGAAACTGTAATCCACACATTCCATATTTGAGGTTAAAGAAACATCTGCCTTCCTACTTCCAACTCAGGAGTCCTCTCTCCAAACCTGTCCTAAGACAATATTTTGTGCACAAAGATGGTAATGATGTGCTATTTCTATTGGTGAAAAATTGGAAACAATATTTGTCCAACATTAGTGGAATGGTTAAATGAATTATGGCATGTCAATGCAATAACTGTATCCAATAAAAATATTCTTTTTTTTTTTTTTTGGCCATACCACATGGCATGCAGGATAGCTTAGCTCCCCAGCCAGAGATCAAACCTGTGTCCCCTGCCATGGAAGCACAGAGTCTTATCCACTGGACGGCCAGAGAAGTCTCCCCATTAAAAAGATTCTTTATGAAAAATTTTAAATGAGTTAAGGAAACACATGATGTAACATTAAATTAAAAAAAGAAGGAACATAATATTATATAGAGAAGAGGGAAGAGAATACTGAAGAAAAGATTGAAAGGAAATAAGGCACAGCATGTTAAAAAGCAGAGACATTACTTTGCTGACAAAGGTCCATCTAGTCAAAGCTATGGTTTTTCCAGTAGTCATGTATGGGTGTGAGGGTTGGACCATAAAGAAGACTGAATGCCAAAGAACTGATGCTTTTGAACTGTGTTATTGGAGAAGACTCTTGGGAGCCCCTTGGACTGCAAGGAGATCCAACCTGTCAATCCTAAAGGAATTCAATCCTGAATATTCATTGGGAGGACTGATGCTGAAGCTGAAGCTCCAATACTTTGGCAACCTGATGTGAAGAGCCGACTCATTGGAAAAGACCCTGACGCTGGGAAAGACTGAAGGCAGGAAGAGAAGGGGACAACAGAGGATGAAATGGTTGGATGGCATCACCGACTCAATGGATATGAATTTGAGCAAGCTCTGGGTGTTGGTGATGGACAGGGAAGCCTGGCATGCTGCAGTTCATGGGGTCAGAAAGTCAGAAACAAATGAGCAACTGAACAGCAACTCCAAGATGTCCACAGAGGCTGCATCTGTGTGGTAGAATGAGTTATTTTTTTGCCAGCTTTACACTTTCGATACTTTCCCTTGTCCCCTACATGCCTATCATAATTAGGGGGAAAAAAGCAACAGTCACCCCAAATCACACCCTCCTGCCCAAGGGAAGTAAACTGTCTGAACAGCCAGAAGGGTCAGGATGCCTGGCGTAGATCCTGGGTCTCTTTTCACATAACAGAAATACGCATGGGAGGCTTTTCTTTGTAAACCTGCTTTTGAAATTTTTCTGGAGAATTTCATCTGACTTAGGTCTTTGGTTCTTGGCGTCAGGAGTCTGTGCTTCTGAGGAGTGGGAAATACAGGTGAGGAATTTCTGTCTCCAGCCCCGCCCTGCCCAAATAGCTCCTGTCATCCCAGGGACGCGGGAGCCTGGTGGGCTGCCGCCTGTGGGGTCGCACAGAGTTGGACACGAATGAAGTGACTCAGCAGCAGCTCAGGGAAGGAGAAAGCCCGGTGCCTCCAGCACTTCTCACGTGAAAGGCCTGCAGAGAAGGGAGCCGGCAGCTTGTCCAGGAATTACTTTTGAAACCTGAAGCCGCGCCCACAATGAGGCACTCTGCAGACTCTCCAGCTGAGAGGAGCGTTCGAGGCTCTGGGTGAGGAGGATCTCGGCAGAGGGCAGAGAGGTCGGCAGTGAGGCTGCTGGTCAAACTCAAGCTGCCAACACGCGGCGGCACCCGTGGGGTTCCCTAACGTGACTGTGTGTTCAGCAAGCCGGCCGGCGACAGACACAGCCCCAAGACCCTCAAGGCCGCGTGCATGCCCAGTTTATCAGAGGTGTGTCTGGTTTCTCTAGGCAAACACCCCAGATCATTTTAGAGCTGCTTGAAGGAGCGGATTTAAACCCCATCCTCTGTGTCCTTCCGATCGGCACGGCTTCCCTGTGGAAACAGGTATCCATCACTCACTGTCCCCACTCACATTTCCAAGCCTGTCTGCTCTGCAAATTAACAACAGTTGGTGCATCTAAAGAAGAGTGTGACGTGAGGGAGGAGCATGTGGGTTTCCCTCAAACCTAGAAGGCTCAGCAACCTAGACAACCCCGAAGGAACTCACACTTAGGAGCCTCCAGGTGTGGAGAAAGAGGGACACCGCTCAGGAGGCAAAATGCCAACAATAAAACTGTTCCCGAGCGGGGACACTGCTCGGCCCCCAGGGGCAAGGGGTCTCCCGAGGTCAGCTCACCGAACATGTTGCCCTCGTAGCCGTCTCTGGTGAGGGGCCGGAGCTCGTTTTTCCCCATCGCGTAGCGCTTGTAGCTCTGCCAGGCGAACTGCATCATCTGCAAGGAAGAGCGGAAACAGAGCCTGAGCGTGCAGAGTTGCGGCAGCGCGGCCTCGACCCTGCAGCGAGCGGGATTTGAAACCACATTACGAAAACAATCTTCCACACTGAGAAAGACAACTTCCTCTCACCATCATTTTCATAGTTACACCTGGAAGACCATTCTCCTCAGACCACCCCATGCATCCTGCTCTACCCACAGATTCCGCAGAGAAGACAACAAACGATACTAAGTACATTCTGGCCATCCGGATGTGAGTGCCACCGTGGAAAGACACCTCCTCCGTGAAGCCTTCTTGGACTAAAAGTGACCCTTTGAAGGGAAGGAAATGAAACTCCCCAAGGGATGTCTGTTAGAATCTAACAGAACCATCCCCTGTGGGAGGGATTAACTCCCCTTTTGTAGATAAGGAGACAGGTCAAGACTGGCTGTAACCTGCCTGGGGTTACCCAGTGAGTCAGTGAGAATGCCAGGACCTGAGCGCATGCCCTCTGGCCCCGAAGTCTTACGTCTGTTCCCTGAAGTCACTGCAGGAGTCTCCTTGAACTCCTCCCACACTTGGTTTGTCTGTCCCAGGCCCTGGCTGTCCCAGGCCTCCAAGCACCCCAGCGGGTCACAGTTTTTGCTTCACTGGTTCTGGACCATGAACTCTTGGAGGCCATTAAACTATACTTTCTTTGCCGCAGTTTCCCCAAAGCACCCTGCACAGGGCTTGGCGATGAGTATCTGTCAGCCTTGTCTCCCAGTGCGTGCATGAGTTCTTACTGTGCTAAGTCACTTCAGTTATGACCGACTCTTTGCGACCCTGTGGACTATAGCCCACCAGGCTCCTCTGTCCGTGGGATTTTCCAGGCAAGAACACTGGAGTGGGTTGCCATTCCTTTCTCCGGGGGACCTTCCTGACCCAGGGATCGAATCCGCATCTCTCATCTCCTGCCTTGGCAGGAGTCTTCTTTACCACGAGCGCCACCATTAGGCCAATTATGTCAGCCCCGTGGGAGCATCACAGAGGCACCTTTGTCCCCTAACTGCGCTTAGCACTGGAGGCTGGAGGGATGCAAGGTGACAATTTGTCCCCAGCCCTGCTACCCCACCCCTCCCCAGGTCTGCCTTTTGTCTTTGATGGCAGGCTGAAGAAGGTGGACAGCTGAGCAGGCTCTGGGGTGACCACGGGGTTGAAGAAGGGGCCAGGCCAGGCAGTGGAGGCACTCCTGAGGGACAGGTAGGTGGGAGGCAGCCTGGACTAGTGGAAGGAACTCAGGCTTCCGGGCCAGGGAGGCCTGGGTTCTAATTCTCTCTCTGCCACTACCTCTTTGATTTTGGAAAGCGACTTAAAGTCTCTAAGCCTCAGCTGCCTCATCTCTGAGGTAGGAATAACAAGGCCTGCTCTGCCACAATCCTGAAAGGTTTAAATGAAAGCAAGTAGCTGGAAATGCCCAGTTTTCAACCCAACACAGCAAGTGATCAATAAACACAGGTCCTCCTTCCTGCTCAGTCTTTAAAATACCCACTGGGTTCTCCAAGCCTTATCCATCCACCCTTCCTCTCATCCACCTTATTAGTTCTCAGACTTGGACTGCATCTGCGCCACCTGGGGAGCTTGTTAAAACAGGCTGTTGGGCCCCATCCTTGAGTTTCTGATCCAGCAGGTCTGGGATGGGACCTGAGATTTTTGGCTAAGACACTCCCCATGGTCCATGGGCCACACCTGATAACCGCTGGTCTACTGTGTGTGTTTATTTCTACTTCTCAGCTCACTTCCAGGCGCTGCCTGGCACCCTTCTGCTTTTCTCCTTCGGTCTCCCGGCCCACCTTCCTGCTTCAGCTGTCTTTCTGGACAACGCCACCTGCACTCGCCATGATCGGCCACCCCTGGTGCCAAGCTATGTCTTCCAGGCACACCTAGGCAGTGACTACTGCCACGCCCACCACTGGGGCCCAAACACAGACCCAGAGGGCAGACCGGCCAGGGCCATGACCTGCGCTCTCCATGAAGTCATGATACTAGCACAATCTAGTACTCTCTCTCCACCTCAGGGATGACGAAACTGAGGCTCCGAGGTGGAAGGTGGTCAGGGAGGCACACTCAGCAGGACTGGTGGTGGGTACGGCCCTCTCAACTCCCGGGCCGACAAATCCCACCTCCGCGCTTGGCCTGATCTGTGGCTTCCCGTGAGACACACGTGTGAATGTCATGGTAATGCATGCCAAGCACTTGGCACAGGCTTTGGGTCCTGGTTCCATTCCTCTGTTATTTTCTACTTATCTTGAATTGGCAATAAGGGAAACTAATTGCTGGGTATGAGCGCTTCAGGGAGACCAGCCTCCTCCCTCAGGCTCTCTTATTCTGGGTCGGGGGCGGGGGTGCCCTCAATTAAGTCGTGGGGGAGGTGGCTGGTAGGGGAGCAGCAGGAGGCTGTTCCAACATAAATGGCAGCAGGATAGCAGGAGCGGAGGTCGGGAGGGGGAGGGCCGAGCCCCACCCCAAGCCCCGCCTACTAGAGAGAGAGAGAGGGAAGTGGGTGTGCAGGAGTAATTAAGAGAACCGTAGGGTATCGACAGGCTCTCAAAGGAGCTGTCACTGCAGAAACGTGGGGATGTTTGGATCATGGCCCGTTCTCACAGTCTTCTCCATCAACGGAGGGGAAGGAAGGCATACACAATCCCTGCGTCACTGGGACAGGATTTGGAAGGCAATCAGAGCTGCTCGGTCACACACACACATGCCCAAGCGCACACAGACCCTTGAAAGCTCAGCCTGGAGTCTGTACCTTGGGTCGCCAGCCCAGGCGCTGGATGAGCAGGGGTGATGGGGAAAGGTCACAGCCAGGCAGTCTTTATTTCCCTTCCCCACCCGCCCTAACCGACCGGGCGGCCTGTCCTGTGCTTGCCAGTTTGGGGTGCAGTCATTATGGGAGTGCTCCCCAGCCCCCTCCCTCCACTTCCCTGCCAACTGCTTATCTACTTTCAAGTCTCAGCGGAAATTTGAAAGAAGGTGTGTCTTCTGAGTAACAGAAGCGCTCAGAAGAAGGCGTGTGTCTCAAGCGGAGCTTCTGGGTGCGTGCTGGGCTTGGTTGCTCAGATGTGTCCGACTCTTTGCGACCCCATGGATGGCAGCCCGCCAGGCTCCTCTGTCCTGGGATTCTCCAGGCAAGAATACTGGAGTGGGTTGCCATGCCCTCCTCCAGGGGATCTCCCCAACCCAGGGATAGAACCCAGGCCTCCCACACTGCAGGTGGATTCTTTACCATGTGAGCCACCAGGGAAGCCCCAAGGGGAGCTTCACGGGCACCCAAATGTCCCGATGGACAAGTAGGATCGTGAGGACACGAGGATGACCGTGAAACTGGTGCTGTGTGCCTTGGGCAACCCCTGGGCTTAGCTTTAGAGATGGACTGTCCCTGGCTTCCAGTTTAGGCAGTTCTAAGGCTTGAAAGGTGACCCGGCCACCTCTTGCCCCATGCAAGTTCCTTAATAAAAAGCTAAGTAATCTCTCTTTGAACACTGTGAGTGATGGGGTGCTCACCATCTTACCAGGCAGCTCATTCAACTGCGGAGTTTCACGAAGTTCTTAATCAATCCAAATCTGCTTTTCCCTGCGGGCCATGTGGAAGACAGCTCATATGCTCCCACCACAGATCTTCATGCAGGAGGAGCCAACTCTCAAGCCACTGTAGGCTGCCTACTGGCCGCGGAACAGACCAGCTCCTTCAACAGTTCCCCTGATGGCAGAGCTCTGAATCCCCTGAAGCTGCAGGCAGAGATCATAACGTTTTCCCAGGGTGCCCAGACTTTACTACCCATTTGTAAAGGCTGGTTTTTGGTAACAAACAGAAACCAAAGTGCAAACTCTCCCTGGTTACATCTGGACCAGACCTTGTGGATGTGGATTTGCCATTTGTCCTTAATAACTGCATGTCGTTGGACTCTGCATACCATTCCGTGCTGTCAGGATCTTTCTGGAACCAGATCTTATCATTCAGTGTGTGCGTGTCTGCCTGTTTTGGGTATTTTGCCTGCTTTGATGGCTCTGCCATCTGCGTCTCCCCCAAGTTTTGGACAGAAATATTCAACGGCTGGGTGGAACACAGAAGCGGGAAACAGCAGCAGGGGCCCTTCACCTGACTCCAGTCCTGCTCTCCGAGTGTCATCTGTCAACACCGGAGGAATCTGCCCGACAATCAGTCCAAGCTTCTGTCTCCATTTTGTGTATCAAGATATAGTGAAGGACAGGGCTGAAATACAAAAAACACTCTGTCCCGGTACAGAGAAAATAGATGGTTTTTTTCTTTCAAAGAGAAATCAGGGGTTAGACTGGTATGATCCGCTCTTAGAGAACCCATTTTGGCCCCTATGGGTCCCCCTTTTTCGGTTCTAAATGCTTGCAACTCACCAACTTAAAAACCTATCAGTTCCACTAGGATGGCTGTAATCAACAAGATGGACAATAACAAGTGTTGGCCAGGCTGTGAAGAAATTGGAACCCTCATCAATTGCTGGTGGAAATGAAAATGGCTGCAATTGCTTTGGAAAACAGTTTAGCATAAAAAGTTAAATACAGAGTATCATGTGACCTAGCAATTGCACTCCTCTGTGTAGACCTGCGCAGAACAGAGTTAACACAGCGGGCCTGAGACTTCTATCCCTAGAAAGGCCCTGCTCACACATTTGGCCCTTGGCTGGTGTCTGGGAACTTGAGTTTAGTGAATGTTCTCACCATTCTCTGGTGGGTAAGGGTGGTTTACTGCACCCGGGCACAAACAATGTGGTGTATGCTGAACACCCACTTTCCTTCTGGGAGTCTGGAATTTTGGTATGTGTTAGGCGGGAGGTTCTTCCGTGAAAGTGAAGTCGCTCAGTCGTGTCCAACTCTTTGCGATCCTGTGGACTGTAGCCCACCAGGCTCCTCCGACCATGGGATTCTCCAGGGAAGAATACTGGAGTGGGTTGCCATTTCCTTCTCCTGGGGATCTTCCCAACCCAAGGATAGAACCCGG